TACAACTTAACCACTGATTATTAGTCGTGTCCTCTTTTGGAAGGCCAAACAAAGTAGTTTCGCGTTCACAACGAACACACAGCGTCTCCACGACATGGCGGCGGCAACAATACTATTGTTAATACTAACAATAGCGAGAATCAAAGTTTCGCCTTCTTTCTTTCCGTGAATTTTGGGCGGTGTTATGCAAATCTTCCCACACAGTGACGTAGACATGTGGGGGCGTGTTTAAACGAGGCGTTTTAGGAGGGCGTGGACGAGTCTTAACTTTTATAAAGAATATCTCTTTGGGTTTGAGACTTTAGTCTTTGCAACTTTAGGGATCTTATCTATTCACGAACAGCTTGTAACACTCCAAAGAGAAAGGAAAACTTGAAATCGCATCATATGACCCCTTTAAACATTTTTAAATTATTCATTAGTAAATTACTCATAATTTGACCCCAATTCTTTTTTTTTCTTTTAAATTGTCTACTTACCACTTATATACATTTTTGAAAAGACTTCTATAATGTAATGTTTAATGCATTTCATGATGTTGATAACAAAGAATGTAATATATTTTTTTACAACATTTTTTTTTATTAATATGGTACACAAATAATTAACTAGCAACAATTTTCATAATGTAATTTGTAATCAGTAATAGACTACAATTTGTAAGTAATCTACCCAGTACTGTATGCAGGTAAAGTAGAATGTACCATATACCCAACTTGATACTTCACTGGGTGACAATATAGTTCACATAAAATCAAAACAAAACAAAAGAAAAAAAACCCCAAAAAACAACAACAAATAAACACATTTTTCAAACATTGACACATTCTTCAAAATCTTATATTGTGCCTCACAACTTCTTTTCTTTTAGCTGTGACTGCATTTACTTCTTTATGGATTAAAGGTGAAGGGTGCCATTTTTGGGGGTGTAAAAATACTCACATCTCAACTAAATATAGAGTAAAACAATTATATGTAATTCGTAGGTTGATTCACACTAAAGGTGTCAACACTATAGCTTTATGGTGTTAACAAAACATCCCAACCAGACCGTCACTGCAACATTATGTTTAAGTTTAGTTTGGGGTGGGACTATCCTTCACCTTTAAATATTGCACCAATTGCATCATTTAATTTAATGATATCTGCCAAACCCCACAATGAATCGTTTCATACCTGTCTGATAAACAGGGGTGCGAGCCTATCTGGGTCTTCCAAGCACTTCTCTAGTTCACCAAGAAAGAAGCTACAAAGATGAGAGGTGTAACATTAATGTCAGGAAATGAAAGTAGGGGGTCTTGATGGTATTTACAAGAATGGAATCTAAGTGTGTCACTTTCACATACTCTTTATGCCAGTCATAAATCTGCTGAATGTTCCCAAAGACGATCTTATCTTTGCCTTTCATGTCGTCGGGTACACCCTCCTCCCTCATCCTGCTCATGTAGCCCTGCAGGTGCCAGAACACATCAGTATGGTTACCATGGAGACAATGACAAGTAAAGCATGTGATCATACTCGACGACCATTCTGAATAAGCGGCAAATCCAAACCACTCTCATTTCCCGTGCCAAACTGTGCCAACACAGCTGACACAAGGCATTCAGAGAGACACTCTTAACAATGTCAAACAAACCATGTGATTAATTCACAACAGATGTGTAACTCCTCAATAGATAGATAGAGCACTGAACAAACAGAACTCAACCCTGACAGTAGCTGCCGATTATGATTACTTGAATGAATGTGTTCAGTTGCATGCGGTCACCATAGCAATCTCACTGTGGTATTCGTTGAAAGAACTGAATATAAGCCCACCTCCACGACTGCACCAAGGTCTCTCACATAGTCTCTCTCTGTCTCCACCAGTTCCAGCAGTACATAGCTGAAAATGAAAGAGAAAAACACATTCACATTAAAATCAAAGAACAATTCAAGATGGCAGGCAGAGTCAAAAGAAACATTGTATTTCATTCAGTATCAAAACGTATCAGTGAAAACATTTCTAATTAAGAAATCTAATTAAAATGTACCCAATATTTGAGTGTGCTACGCATTTTTATGCTTATTATAGTACTCTATAGGAATCAGTGCTGTTTATATATCCTTTTCACATGACTCACATCAGTGTTCCTTAATGCACTGAACTCGGTGGAATGAACCTTAAAGCTACAGCTAAATTAATTCAATTTTTTATAGAGCTATACAAATGAGAAGTTTAAAGTTCAAACTATTTCAGCTTCGACCCTGTTTGCTGATAAACTTTTAAAGCAAACACAATAATTACAAGACAATTTGCATGGCATATCGTAATGTATAAAACATATGCTACCTGCCTTGAACCAGTTCTGATCTAAATTCAACAAGCAATCCAAGACCGCATGGGGGTCATTAAAAGAGTCACTCACGTTTGAGTTATTTTTACTTTCTACAATGTATTAAAGAGTCAGTACGACTCTTTTCTGTTCAAAACTTTTTTGAAAACTTTTGTCTTCTTTTGCCATTTATTTATGCACCATACCAACTAACTAAAAACCTTTGTGATACCTCTCTGAACCTCTGTGACCTGCAGCACTTTTTGTGTAGAGGTCAAAACACTGACACTTGTGTTGAGAGAAGCTTGGAAGCTCTGATGTTATTCATGGTTCAAGTCAGTCACCTAAACGTTCCACACATGAGATTTAATTTTGGTGTGGCCGTACAACGACTATGTGTTTTAGAGAGCTAATATAACAAATATTTGAGGAAAATAAGACAGGAACACACTGTCGTCTCTTGAGGAAGCCAGTCTTGCGTTCGCCCATCTCGTCGATGGGAGAGGAGGAAGACAGGAAGGAGTTATCTGATGGGTTGAAAGAAGGACTACTGCTATCTCCTCGCTCAACAAGGAGAGAACTAGGCCTGTCCTCCAGACTCTGAGAGAGAAAAAGTGGACAATACAAAAACATTAAATGTAAAAAAAAACTAAAAAAAGATGGACAAGCTGTGATCTCCTACAACTCTGTGATCTCCTACCATTTTGCTCTTGACGAGTTCCTCAATGGCGCTGACCAGTTCAGCTGCACTCGGTGTCTCTGAACTGCTGGGACGTCCAGACAGACGGGAGGTAGCCTACGCAAAAGAGAAAAAAAGTAACAATCAGTTCATTTACATGGACAACAATACTCTGATTTTAATATGATTGAGGATGCACACACGGCAGTGCTCAACCGTTTGACGGCAAATAAAAGAGCTTCAACACCCGCCGTTGTCTGTATGCACATACACATAATTAAATGCACTTGAAGCTTTCATAAAATTACAAATGAAACACCCAGAACTGTACATGGCATCATCACAAAGACGAACTATATGTTTATACGTGAAATTCCGGAGGGGACGTCGGATGACGCCTTTCCAACGCGTGCTTGTGATGTTCGGCCAATCACAATGCACTGGGTCAGCTGGCCAATCAGAGCAGACTGCGCTTGTCAAAGATGGGGGCTTTGTTGAAAACGACGTGTTTGAGAGAGGCGGGGCATAGAGGACCTACAATAATGTACAGTATTTGAAAAATAATGTGTTTTTTGAACATTAAAGCATGTCAACATATTCTGTTACACCAAATACACAAAATAATGATCTTTAAAATAGCATCATATGACCCCTTTAATCGAACTATGTACTATAACATGTAAAACAGGAACATGAAAGGAATATTCTAAAAGCAACTCATGTAAACACCATAATCATAATATTGGCTTATTTAGAATAAGGTAAATAATTAGATTACTGATGTCCATGTAAACGTAGTCAATGTTCAGAATCTTCAAAACAAAACAAAACAAAACAAAACAAAACAAAACAAAACAAAACAAAACAAAACAAAACAAAACAAAACAGTTTTTTGTTTCAGCACGTATATACCACTTAATTGATTATTGGTGTTACATTCGGTGATGTCTAATTTGCATTTTAAAAACCTTACATGTGTTTTTTTATTTTCCATGAGACCTAGTCCATTAAGAGGTGTGACACCATCTTGGGTTATGGTTACATAGTTGAATGACTATTTAAATTTAATCAGTAATTAGCACTGGATCCAGTTTTTTTAGTTGAAAAGTGAACCACAAAGTCACTATAGACCTCAATATCCATTTATTATGTGAATCTGCAATGATGCTCACCATTGTAGTGTTCTGACACTGAAGGCGGAAACATTCCAGTCCAAATATGGCAATGGGTGTGGTTTCTGTATTCGCCAGTCAATCAGGGGCTGATTTCAAAGTGGTAGGGGCATTTGTAGGGGGAATGGAAGTAGGAACTTTGGTTTGGAAGATTTAGGTTGTTTTGGGTAAAGAGTAAGTGCACACATGGCCCATCGCATGTGATTGTACGCACTCCTGAATACTCCATTAAGGGGCACATGAAAGGTCATGGACAAGGTCAAGGGCTTTCTCAGTCTATAACAGTCAGAAGTTCACATTTTTAGAAATGCTACTGAACAGGATCAGTTTCTGTGCCTCAATAAACAAGTTCTGGCAAAGCACAACCGAGGACATGTGGAGTATTCAAATAAATGAATGGACAAGAAGGAAAATATACAAGAAGGATGAGGTGTAAAAGTAGAAAAAATGACTGCAAAAAAAGGAAAGAGGAGAAAGCAGGAGGAGAGAAGACTACATAGAGAGATAAGGAAACTGAGACAAAACAGAGGCAGAATAGAAATCAACATAATGCTGGAGAACATTAAGAAACAAAGAGAAAACAGACAGCAGTTAAGAGAGGCCTGTCAGAGACCTTCTAAACTCTCATCATTGGTCAACATGAAGTCAGCATGAAACCATATTTACAACAATGTGGCATTTTTCTTAGTAAAACAGTCCCTGAGGAAATGTAGGGTGAGCTTTAATCTGTAAGGTATTGATTGGATTGCTAAAAGTGGGCATTCCAGAGATTGTAGCAAGACCTGAATACAAATTTGGAGTTGGTTGTCGAGGACTGTTTTCTACCTAAAACAATTAGTATTGGACTAATTTATTAACTGGTCTTAAACTGCATTTTTAAGCAGTCACAAAATCTTAAAACAAATCAATAGAGATAAAAAAAAAAATACAAATCCTTTTACAAAATTATATTCTGGTGACTGGAATTTACCTTGTCCTCCTGGGAGTCCTGATGCAGAAGGCTGTGCTGTTGGATGGCCATAGGGGGCGGCAGGGGAACCGAGTCTGGCCCTTCCTCCCCCTCCTCCTCACCACAGCTCTGCATCCCTGAGGAGGAAGACTTAGACAGAGTGCCACTGCTCAATCCCTCATTTCTCATTCTCTGTGAGGACAGAAGAAAGTGAGAAAGAGAAATAGAAAGGAAGAAATAAAAAATAAACATTGTTAAGCTATGAAACAGCTCAGCAGCTGTGGCACATTTTTATACAAAAATAGCTCCAGTGGAAGAGTTGCACTGTATTTATAAGTGCTCTACACTGGAAACCACAAGACATGAATAACACTTTCAAATCATGCACTTAAAAACAAACAGAACTCTTCATTTACCAAATGCATTTACCGGGATATGAGTGGGAAATAACAAACTAGTATATATTTACTCATCTGGGAGTTGTTTTAATCATTTTTACTGTTGCAATAGGGCATCTTTGGACATTTTTCATTAATACTGTAAACTTTAGTCCTATTTATTTACTTAAAAAAATAATTTTTTGGGGATCTATTAGAAGTGTTAGACAATTGTCTAACATAAAATTAATTTAGCAGTTATTTCTGTACACCTTTAAGTGATTCTTGACATGTTACAAGTCTTCTTGACAATGTAATGCTTTTTCATAATTATAAAAATTTTTTGTAAAAAAAAAAAAAAAAAGGTATTGTGAAATATCATTACAATTTAACATAAAATGTTTTTTATTTTATTATATTTAAAAATGTAATGGCAAAGCTAAATTTTCAGCAGTCATTACTCCAGTCTTCAGTGGCACATGACCCTTCAAAAATCATTCTAATATGCTTTGGTGTTGAAATAACTTATTATTATCACAATTGAAAATGGTTGATTACAAACTATGTGTATGTACATGCAGACATACGGTAGTGTATGTACATGCAGACATACAGTTTTATAATACATTAATTGATACACAATGCAGTTTTTTTTATTTTAATTGACTGCATTGTTCAAGCTAATAAATTTTTAAAAAAAAAAAAAAAAAAAAAGGTGTTACTGTATGGTGTTAAGGTGTTTCTGGTCACCAACCTCCTCTATGGTCTCATCTTGTGGTGTGGCGGCACTATCATCGGAGTCTTTCTGTGAGCCAGCGTCTGCATTCTTGCGGACATCTCGACTCTTCTTGTGCTTGTGTGCAAGTTTCTTCACATGGCCGTCTGCTTTACCACTGCTGAGCCGTCTGACGGGGCTGGTCAGCCACTTGCGCAGAGTATTTCCGGGCCGTTTGGGTCCAGGAGAGCTCTGCAAATGACCCGGCTGCAGTGTGGCACTGCCTGAAAGTCCTCCATCATTACTGGAGACTGAGAGCGTGTCTTCAAAGAAAGAGGGAGAGAGAGAAAGAGAGAGAGAAGTGGTTTACATGTCCTGCTGGGCCTAGTCAGTGTTTTTGTTTTATAGAACTGCTGAAAAGACTTTTAGCACAACTCTACACAATTTTTGGGGCTACTGTACATGCAATGTCACTGTACCACAGTTCACTATATTATAACTTTATAATAAACTTATTATAAATAAAAAAACTAAAATGATATCAAGCACATCTGAAAAGTCAAATCCGACTATTAGATGCTAATTATTCTGGGGTTTGTGGAGAAGTGTGTGAGCGAGCTTTTCTGACCAACACAGTGATGCAAATCGCAGCCATACTTTTCCCTTCAGAGACGTTTCTGTTTTCAGCCCTCTTCAAAACTGAAACTGCAAAACCGTCTTAAAAGACCTTGCTCTGCTCCTTAGAGAGTATGTCCTTACATAAAGCTTGCATAAGATATAGAAGTCTACTGATGCGCAGAAGAAATCTCTTAAGGCTTCCGATGAAAGGTCTTCAGGGGAGGAGTGGAAAAATCAAGAGCTAATAAATAGATCTTTATTGACTGTCACTATATAAATATAGTATATAAATCTTTCTTGAATTCTCAGCTGTCTTGCTCTCAGTAGTTTGTCCCCTCTCTCTGGGCAGTATATTGCAGTAGCTGACCCTATAGTGTGACCCATCTGCCATAGTTCACACTCAGTGTAATTGTCAAAAATACACACACATAGCTACACCTGGTAAACAAAGTCCATTTTTTTCTAACTGATGAACACATCAATTACAGCAGAGAGCATTTTTTCCCTGAAATCATTTTACTATTGAGGTCTGCAAATGAATCATTGTGAACGGATTGATTATATTGATTCATTTGAACTGATTCACAAAAAGATTTGAATAAACTCTTATTGTGGCTCATTCTGGCCAAGAACTACCCAAATAGACACAAAGAAGTGTCTGACTGATATATAAAAGCGGCCAATCATAGTTGGTTTTTACGCACCGTTTTTTTGGGCAGGTTTATCTAAACCAGGCAATATGTGAGTAACAGACAGAACTAACAAAATGAACTCTGAACTGGTTAGCAGCGGAATTTTGTGTTTAGCACACAATTTAGCAAGTGTGCATGTTTTTGTAACTGTCTTTTTTTTTTATAACCTTCATAGCAGGATATAAATTGTAAATTAGCCAGTTTAACACAATTTATCATGTTGGCTTTATAATATCCACAACAGAATATTTCTGACAAATATCTCTGATTGGAAAACTTGTGAGTTAATGGTAATTGAATATGATTATCTAAGTCTATGATTTTTGTGTGTTGTTACTAGATATATCAGTGATGAATGTGGTGTATGTGTTTGCAGTTCTGTTACAAATTCACTCCTCCTGCACTGTCATTAAATTCGCACCTGAACAAACCGAGCCTTCAGCGCCACAGAAATGAGCCCTGTGTTGGACACTGTGTATGTGTCCAACTGTCCCCTCATATGAAACTTACAGTAATTTGTACATTACACCACATATAAATCATATATAAACAGATCTGAAATATTACAGAAAACACTCTCCGTCCCAACTGAGGTAGCATTGATTAATTAAGAAGGGGTGTGATATCACATGCTTGAGGTGTGACAAAATTATGTTTACTCATACTTTGAATCTCTCACGTCATGGAAAATATTTAGATAGAGATTTATTTGTAAGAAACTCTATTTATGGCGCTTTCAAATAAGCATAATCATCTAGTCTGTTTCGCTGTGAGCCTCTTAAGTCTGAATTAATAATAAAGACTCGCTCACAAACACATGCACAGGTTTCGACCTTTATTGGGGGTACAGAGACTTCCCAGACTGTATACAAGAAGACGTAATCACCAACATAACATCTAAATCAATCAGTCTGTGAACGAAAGCCAAATATAAACACCATCATAAATTCCTATTGCTATGCTATTTGGGTCAATGACAAATGACAAACGTGTTAACATTAAAAAAAAGGAAAAATAATTTAAAACGTGCTAAGATATTACAAAAGTACTTGTATTCTTGTTGATTTCATAAGGTTTTGAAAAAAAAAAAGTTAATATTTTCAAGAAAAGTTGAAATTTGAAAAAGATTATAAATTATGTCATTAAATAAATGTAATCGGGGTATACATTAACAATTATTTCCAAAAACATTTTTACATATGTATATTTTTTTTTTCAAGGCAAAGGATATTTTATTTAATTTTAGTAATATCATGAACTATTCAGTCATATTCAGTTATATTCAGTCAGTTTTCGGGGGAAAATGCACATGACAAACTAAACAAATTTTGCCTTATCATAAAAAAGGTCAAACTAATTTTAAGAAACTTGTTGTCTTTGACACAAAGTCGGGAGGACCTGTGATATATTCATATATTTTAAATATGTAAATATATATTTTGATTTAATTTAATTTTAATGATAAAAAAATGTCATGATAAACTACTTACTAATGTGTTCTTAAAAAATAATAAGTGTTTTAATAAGAATGTTTTTTTTTCTTCATTATTAATTCAGAAAAGTTCTATCTCCCTGACATTTCTGACTTTATGCCCCTCAAAATATTAAAATGAATTTTAATTCAGACGTAGATCATCATAAAGAACAATATTTTTTTCCAATTTGTGACCCTCTCTGTGAAATCCATGCTAAAGTCTCAAAATCTAATTATGAGATAACAATCATCAAAGTTTGATTTCAACCATTAATTTCACGATGATTTCAATCTTTGGCATGGTCTAACTCAGTCAGTAATAAAGATATCAATGTTACATTTTCACAGAATGTTCTTTACCTTATGAAGGATGATTTTATATAGAAAACAGTAAATCACCAAAAAAATTACTTTAGCTGGGTTTTCACAGACAGGGTCACATTTGTGCATGAATTGCTTTTTTTAATGTATATTTAAATAGGTTAATAGATCAAAGTAATGTCATGTCATTAATCTATTCACTTTCGCTCTGCCAATATAAAAAGCAGACAGTGGCAACTTTTAAATGCTGACGTCCGCTCAAAATCAACTCCTGTAGAAAATGCACTAAAGTGAAAGTGTGGCAACTCAATTAATATGAATAAAATGTATTTTATTAGCACCCAACACATTAACAGTGTTAAACACCAAATAGACAGGAATAAAAAAAAAATTAATTCAGCTAAATTCTATGACCAAGCTTTATCTATTATTAGATGTCATGAGCAATGAAAATTAATCGATCAATAAATAGAATACTACTTCTTCGTGTAGTCTCTGTAGAAGTGCCTTAAAATCACTTAATATGAATCTTAATATAAACCCTACATATGATTTATCAACATACCCTACGCTTAACTTCCTGAATACATTGAAACTTCTTAAATAAACAAACCACACTATATTAAGCTGCAGAGTATGACTATTGTGTTCAGTCCTGACAGTGTTGTTGTCCTGTAAGGCACGTACCCAAATCCAGCAGCCAGTACTTGCAGTTCTCTGAGCGTCCTGAAGCTGAACCCATGTGACAAAGTGGCCTGACTGATAAAAATGAGTGTATTCCATGTGCCATACCAAGAAGTGATCCGAACAGAGGAGGCAAACTACACTAACTCCTCTAAACTGAAAGGATTTTACCACATAATGCTGAGAGGAGAGTGATGGACTATGAAAGAAAGGGAGGGAGGGAGAGAGGAAGGGGGATGGAGAAAGAGGGAGGTTTGGTGTTTCATGCACAGCTGTGACTAAGTTATGCTCAGAATGAAAGCGAGAGAGAGAGAGAGGAAGGGAAAACCGGATGAGAAGACTCAAAGGGAGGAAAGAGGTGAACCTACAATTCTTTAATATGAATGATGTGATTCTGAAAGAGTCAGAGTTACAAGTCTTCTCACAATTAGACAGTTTCAGATTATTTACTAGTTTTCTAATTTGTGGAAAATCACAACGACTATAAGCAGGTCATATTGCATAGAATTTGCATATAGAGAATAAACCTATTGCTATGACCATTACATTTTTTTAAAATTTCATGACATTTTGTATTTCATCTTGTCCACACATTTTAGACCAGATTCTCATTACATTTACATTTTACAGTATATCAGTCCATACAAAAAAAAAAATTCTTCACTCTTTTTGACTAATCAATTTAAAGAGGTCATATGATGCGATTTCAATTTTTCCTTTCTCTTTGGAGTGTTACAAGCTCTTGGTGCATAAAGAAGATCTGTAAAGTTGCAAAGACTAAAGTCTCAAATCCAAAGAGATATTCTTTATAAAAGTTAAGAGTCAGCCACACCTACCTAAATCGGTTCGTTCTAACACGCCCCCACGTCTACGTCATGATGTGGGAAGATTTGCATAAAACCGCCCAAATGTTCACGCAAAGAAAGAAGGCGTAACTTTTATTCTCGCTGTAGTATTGTTGCCGCCGCCGCCATGTCGTGAAGACGCTGTGTGCTTCGTTGTGAAAGCGAAACTACTTTGTTTGGTCTTCCAAAAGAGGACGATATCGCTTCGTCATGCCTGGAGCTGATCCGTGCTGGTCGCTGAGGAAATACTTCAATTTCGTGCTGTCGATCGTTGGATCGGCTTTCACCGTGGACGAAGCGGAGTCCAGCCTGGGGTCGTCACATGTGGTTGCCGCAGGCATCACAATATGGTAAGGGACGTAACATTTCCGTTATACGCTTGAGGAATTTGGCCAATCACAACGCACTGGATAGCTGGCCAATCAGAGCACACCTTGCTTTTTCAGACCGATGAGCTTTGTAAAAATCGACACGTTTCAGAAAGGTGGGGCATAGAGGAGAAACAATAATGTACAGTATGTGGAAAATAATGTGTTTTTTGAAACGTAAACCGCATAAACACATTTCATTACACCAAATACACAAAATAATGTTATTTTTAGCAGCATCATATGACCCCTTTAATGAGTTTTCTTTGATTTGATAGATTTCACTGCCACTGTAAAACATTTTTTTTTTTTCAATGACTTTCCCAGGAAAACAAATTTTTTTAATTCCCTGTGGTTTTCCAAGTTTCACATGATCTTGGGGGCAATATGATAGGAGTCTTGACAGGTTGGCTATGTGAGATTCACCCAATTAGATTATTAAAATCTCAAAAAATAATGGTGTTACAGATATTTTAGATTCTTTTATGTGAAGATTGCTGAAAATACCATGTGGATGATGGCATTCAGCAAAACAACATCAGTCAAGCTTTGACCTGTTCGAACATTTTCAGCATTTTTCACTGGGAACAGTAATAATATATCTCAGCCATAAATGACAGTTTTAAGGTATACAGTACAGCTGGTAGGCTTGGCCAATATCAGGTCACAGCATGAAAATCAAGCAAACTATACAAACAACTGCCTCTATATCACATACACAAATGGCTGCCTCTCTTACAGGCTGCACCGGGGCGGATGGCTACAAAGATCTCCCTGTTTAAGCATCTTTGGCTGCTTAACAGTAGCTGGTCTGTGGCAAGTCGAACTGCTTCCTTTGCTATACACACACACACACACACACACACACACACACATGCAGATCCGTAACTGTTTATGCCAGAACTAATCAACATTCTGCTGAGGATTCTGCTCTGGTCTCATGGTAAAAGTTAGATTTTTTTCAGCCCCTCTGGACACATTGCAACACACCAGCTGCCTTAAATATACCTTGAACATTTCAGCTAACAAAATAGTCTGGACAGCAATTTGAAAAGGTTGAATACACTGGCCATCATGAGTTATGACGGTTCCTATTTCACATTCTACAAATACAGATACAGTCCTTGCTGTAAGAGAACCGGCTGTTTGACATTTCCCATGACCTCTGCCAAAGGAAAGGTGCTGGTCTACTTCTAATGATGTCATAAAACAGACATAAATGACAGATATGTCCTAACTTAGTAGTTGCAAAAAGATAGAAATTAAGTGAATTGAACATCATCAGTTTCAATATGACTGTTATATTACTTTACAAGCTTTTCATTGATTATCTCTTTAATAGACAGACAGACAAACAGATAGGCTACAGCAGATACCTTTTGGGACAATATTTTCTAACATTTTCTAACTATATCATGAGCTAAAAATAAGTTTCAGTAACTTCCCAGAATTCCCCAAACTGAACACCACACCCTGCACACACTAATGATCTTCTCTCAGATGCTGCCCAGTCATCCTTGTGTGGGTGACCTCAAAAATCTTTGCCTGGTGACGCTCTTAGATTTACCACATGCTTTTCCTTTGTAATCATGTCTTTGTCACAAATCATGGTCCATTCAGCGTTTTCAAAAGCAGTGACTAACCACCATGAATTCCAAGTTACACACCTTTGATAATGAGGAACTGACGGACTAATGTAGTACTAGAACTTACTACAGCCAAATTAAATCCTCAAATACATGTTAACAATAAGAAAGCTCCAAAACTGAATTTATGCTGACTCATCCTAGATGTTTTCATGCACAAAACTGTATTTCACCACAAAGCTGAGTCCTAGAATATCATTACAACTTTAAATACAACATGAAATTAAAATGGACCATATACATTTTTAGTATAGAATATTTTTACTGTACATTTTTTGTAGACAGAATATTGTAATAGAAAAACAACCTTTCCACTGTTTCTACCGTTGCGATATAACCAAAGCCACATGTAAATAAAATAAAATAATAAAAGCATTTAACAGCCAACCATCCAGCTATCTCTCAACAGATAAAATCAAATCTTGTCTAAATTATTTTCTGCCAAATAATCATCTTCTTTCTGAAATAGGTCACATTACAATTGTTACACATGCTTCAAAAGTAGGGGTGTAACGATACACGTATTCGTATTGAACCGTTCGGTACGAGGCTTTCGGTTCGGTACGCATTACAAACCAAGCGATTCATTGGAGTAATCCTATTACATTTGGAAAATAAAAGAGCTTAAAGTGTGTGAAATATAATGTACTCCAGGTTGTGACGGTGAGGTAGTTCATTATAGTTTTCTTTTATTCACTTTTAAATGGCTTGTAAATGCCTGTGCACATTTTACTTTCACTTTTAATTAGCATCAATTCGGCATCAATTGATTAAATGGACAACAACAAAACAGTACGACAGATTCTTTGTAGTAATCCTATTACATTTGGGGAAAAAAAGAGCTTAAAGTGTGTTAAATATAATGTACTCCAGCCCAGGTTGTGACGGTGAGGTAGTTCGCTAGAGTTTTCCCTCTTTTCCTCGCTTTTATTCACTTTTAAATAGCTTGTAAATGCTTGTGCGCATTTTACTTTCACTTTCGAACTAGCGGCATTTCGGCGTCAATTAAATGAACTGGCAACAACAAAACAGTACAACAAACTCACTTACATCAAACATAGAATGTTTAATTTATACACAAAATGAATACAAATACACCATGCTATAGGCCTAATATAAAATAACAGATAACTTACACAAAGTTTAAATATAAAACACTGAAAATCAGCAAACACGGTGGAACCAAATAAATAAGAAACGAATGTTAAAAAAGCTTCCAAAATCATCTTAGATAAACGGCAAAGGTCAAAAGGCCTTCCAAAGTCTAACATATTTGTAAGATCATACTTTATGTTAGTTTTAATAAATAAAAAAATTGTACAAATAAAGGAAATTTCTCTGCCATTTCTTTGTTTTTGCTGTATCGAAAACGTACCGAACCGTGACACCGCTGTGTCGTATCGAACCGAACCGTGAATTTTGTGAACCGTTACACCCCTATTCAAAAGTATTTTATTATGATAATAAATGACATACAATGTACTACATTTATTTTTATAATAAATTTATTTGATTATTTTATTTGAATTTATTTGATAATAAATACAGCAAAAACTGCAATATTGTGAAATAATATTACAATTTAAAATAACTTTTTTTCTATTTTAATATAATAATAAGGATTATATCATGCGAATAGGAAGTTCACAAGAACAGCATTTATTTTAAATGTAAATTTAAATGTCTTTGCTGTCACTTTTGATCAAATTCATGTGTCCTTGCTGAATAAAAGTACTAATTTCTTTCAAAAAGAAATGCTGACCCCAAACTTTTGGTACTATATGTATTATTGTTTACAAAATGGCTGATTTGAATCGCATGACCAAAATCACATTAACTGTCCTGTGTACATGGATGCGGTCTTAGCAGGGAAATCCCCTGCAGCCTGGCAACCCTGTTCATCACCTGACACAGCCCATCACCATGGTTACTGCATGCTTAACACGCTTCAACCCTAACAATCAAGAGCAAAGCTGGACTGCAATTAAAATTTTATTTGGGTTCAGGGTGAGTCAAGAGCAGATACACACACCTGTACACAGCTTTCATTCATCCCACCTGAACGAAAACACACAATATCTGGCAACCACATTAGGATAATCCGATTTAATTTTGGTTTGTGTATTTCATGTTTAGGCTCGCACACAGCTAGAAGTCTGTATCCATTATATTTTTTAGAATTAATATAATTAAAAACCAATCCATGAGGTAAATTAGATTTTTAAAATGCTACCAAAACAGATTCATTAAAAAGCTGAAATCCTTATCAAGTGTGTTACCTAACAACTCTTACACAAAGGACCAGCCGGAAACCCCAGACGAGTGTGTAGGCATGTCTTTGAGTAATCCCTCAAGCATTTACACAGAAGCTCTTCCCATGACTGGAGAGGAACATCAAACGCTATTCCAGATTTTAAGGACCTCACAAACTCAACACACTGACAAATACAAGTTGTGCAGTCTCTGTGAAGTGTAAACCTAAATAAACACCATTCTAAATCCTGGACCCATCTTGATCTGACCCCATATCTAAGAAGGACCAGCATAAACATTAAAAAAACCTAAACTTTTAAGTACATCCAGTCTAAACAAATCTAACCCAACCCAATCTGCAGGAAACAAGAAACTCTCCATCTTACCTTTATGGTTGAAAATGCCCTCCATCTCCATACTACTTCGGGAATGGGCGATGCAAAGCATAGAGCTGGGAACCAGGCCCTCCTGGGCAGGTGAACGGTCAGTGGTGCGAACCAGACACCAGTCGGGCTTGTCCTGGGGCCTTTCTACAAGCTCCACCGTCTGACCTCTGCGTACAGTCAACTCCGATCCATTACTGGCCATGAAGTCGTGGATGACCACCGTCAACTCTGAGCCACTAGACAACTGGGGAGGAAGGCATAAAAGTCACATTAAAAAATATCTTTGATAAAGACAACAAAAACGACCTAATTAAAAAAAAGAGACACGTCTAAAGTCAGCACGAACGTACCCACTGGTAATGTGGCATTGCCAACGAGCTCAAAAGGTGAGCCACTGACCCTGAATCTTTACACGCCATGTTTCTACCAAAACAACACCCCCCGATACATCCTTACTCAGTAAATATCACATGGAATGATGGTCTGGGTCAAAAAAACAAACAAAAAAACATTTCCGACAATGCCATATCCTTCAATCTGGAAGACAGAGCGCTGAAATTGCTTTTCTCTTGTCTTATCAAAATGAATCTCCTCTACAGTTCACGCTCAAGCATTCGGAACTCTAGTGAGGTAAAGTGGCAGCTGACACATCCTCGCATTGCCACAGAGATGGAATCAGTCTTAAGGAGTTACGCCTGGCAGGAGGAAGGGAGAGGAGGCAGAGACGGACACAATGTGCCAAGATTTAAAGGAGCAGGAGGCAAATTAATGCTCATTAGAAGTGACGTGCAATAACACGTCTGCTTCTGAGAGGTTCACCTTTTCACCTCACCGTGAACTGAGAGGGCTCTGTGTGCGTTAAGATAAAAACAGTGAGTCTTTGTGAGGGGTCGTCAGGGTACATGACTCTTTACGTGTTCGTGCATGTCACAACAAGACAGGGAAGAGACCGACATGGAAGTGGAGGCAGAAAGATAAAGATGGTGTGTCCAAGTGTGTATGAGAGTATGGAGAGTATCAGCAAGTAATGTGTGCTGCTGTAGGAGGCTTGCAATACATTTCGGTGACAAAAACACGCACATGTGTGAAGGCGTGTGAGAGGAGAGCTCTGACTGGGAGTGGGAAGACAAGCGTCTGTGCTGCTAAATCCAAAGCAACCGAAGCAACAAACGTTCCCCAATGAGGAACCTTCATTAAGTCTGTTGGTAATCAGGTTAATGGAATGTCGGAACTACTGGACGCCACTGTGCACAGACTTCTTGGATGGATGATTCTTCAATTAAGTTACATTTTCTGTTTCCTAAAATGTTTGAATACATAAAAAACTTCGGTAACACTTTCTATGAAGCCCATTTTTAAAACACATTATAAGGGTATTCTTAAGGCATTATAATGAATGCATAAT